TACAAAACCTATGTCGGGTTCCGGGTCCACCACGCTGATCCAAATAGCCAACTAACTTTTGTGTAAGTTTTCGTTCTTCACATCTTTTGTTTTCTGTTTCACATCCTTCATTCGTTCCATCGGTTGTGATACCAAACTGGCAATAGTGATCCCGAATTCCTTGTGTTGCAACCCGATGATAGTGACTTGCTGGTTTCATTATTTTTCAGTTGACCTTATGTCCCAGTACCTTCATTGTCTCTTACAATGGCCATAGCTTGCCCACTTCTATTCTGCTCGATTACATTCCCGTCTGATCACGGTCAATCCGAACGAGTACATTCGTAATATAACTCGATCGCTGGCCGAATACCGAATTGTCGTATCGATCGTGGAAAATCATGTACAATATCATCCACGCAGCCCGGTCCAAAATGCCGAGGAGTTGAAGATCGCACGAGACATGTGCAACCTGCTCCCAGTACGACTAACCCGACTAGCTCGGGGCGAACCGATTGCGGCGGTCAATGCGTGAGCAAGCAGAATAAGTCGAGCTTCATTTCAGCCTCTCTCCACCGTCAACTTCCTTATTTGTTTTATTTGTTTCTCATTCCTTGTTTACTTTGCCTCTCGTTTTCTTTGTTCGGAATGGTGTGCATTTTTAATTTATACTTACGTATAGTCCGTAATTCTGTCATTTATTCGAGATTTTTATTTGCAGCATTGCGTCGTCATTAAAAAATTTTGTCTTTCTTATAAAGTATCGATTATATTATCTTTTTCTTTTTGCGATAGTTGTCGTTTATAAGCGATAAATCATATTTAATAATCTACCCAGTACCACGCTATTTTCTCCTGCACACTACTCCCGACTTTCGAATCCTCAATTTTATCCAAACGGCAGCCCAAAGATATTAACCAACACCATCGCACAGAGGCGCGTGGTTGTTGGTTGCGAAAACTAGTGCGAGAGTGTAGTAATCGGAATAGTGTGTATAATGGATCGCAATCGAAATACTGAATCCTACTAGTTACCGTTTATCTAAGTCTCCCGTCATTCAGACGCACGAAAAGGACCACAGAGACAGCGATTCGTTTACTGAAAGAAATCAATGGCATCAGTATGTAACTAGAGCTATCAATGGTTAAACGGGCATCAACCAATCACCGTTCTTGTTCTCCAAGTAGCAAGACTTCTGCATGCCGTTTGAGTTGTCGATGCTATTTGCCTGTTTTATTGAAATTGGACGGCGTAACCCCTTGGCTTATGTTGTCCCGAAGGGTTCGCTTACGACGTGGTTATGAGGCTGTCGGAACTAAGGGGTCTGTCGCTTGGTGGGCTCTTTAATACTAGGTAACATTAGGTTGTTCAAACTGAATCCATTTCTGGGATTTGAACCTGTGCGTTTGACCTCTTCTTAAAAGTAACACCAATGGCCGTTGCACTGGGGGGGGGGGGGGGGAAGGAATTCTAAGGAGTAACACCTACAAAACTCCTATCGATCGACTCTCGCCATTTTCGAATGGATAAGTTGGGGGATCAAAACCAACTGCTCAAGGAATTTTCAGAAATGCGGCATTAGTGGGTTCGCCTATTCAGAAGGCGATTTCCCTGACGCCTTATTTCCCACCTGGAAGTCAAATGAGGTGAAATGCCTTTCTTGATTTTCACTAGGCAAATGCCCTTTATCAAACCCATGTACAGCTCAGCACGTGTCATCCCCTGCAACAATCAGCTGTTATTTTGTCAGTGGGGTAGATGGATTTGAACTGATAACGAGACCCAAACAGGTCGAAACAGCTTTCCAGCGTTACCCATTTCATTTGCTCCTGACACTAAAGAATTTCACCATATGAACAAACCAAATCACCACCGTGTATCAAACAGTTAAGTTTGGAATGTTTCTGAACCGAATAATAGACCCGGTGGCTGATGCTGTGAGGAGTGACATGTGATGTCCCTAACAAGCTTGCAAAGACGAGTGGTACTGTATCGTGTATAAGGAAAATCAAAAATTGTCCGATCAGCTGCCCGGTGGTCGAGTGAGTAGTATGCTTGCGCCCTACTTGTGAGGTCCCGGGTTTGATCCTTAGTAGGGTAGACAGGTTCGTACTACTGATGACATGTCGTTAAGTTGTATACTTCAGACGCAAAACTATTAGCCCGTAGATCTGGAGTATCACTAGATTCCAAGTAAATTCACCGGCAAAAACGATAACTCAGAATGCGACTCAAACACTCGTCGATGGCTGCAATATTGTCGATTTGAGTGCGCTGATCAGTTAATTCATCGTAGCAAGCAAGAGTTACAATGTTGAATACAAGCCTTGTATGTCACTATTAATCGAACGCCAAAAACCGAGACGAAAAAGCGTTCTAGAATTAAGTCACTAACCAGTGCAGTGGTTTCACACCTAGCTGAAACAAATCATACCGTGAACGTGTGCGAGGCTTTCCGACCCCTGTATAAAGTTCGCGGGCGATTATCGAGGCAGGTTCGCTGTCGGATGTTGGCTACGGCAGAAGCGGTAGGCATTCGTCTGCACAAACCCCCTCTGTGTGCCCAAAAACAATTTGTGCAAGCGCTTAAGCTTCCCTGGCCCACCCCCCATACAAACCGCATCGTGAGTAATCTCGATGGTCGGATGAGTGGACAAACAAACATGTGATCGTGGTGAACCCGATTTCCGGTCTCACGATGAAATCGGTTTTAGTAATCTGTTTTTATTTTATTTTATTTTCCCATGACAATTTTATTCCCAAGTAGTGATATATATTGAGATGTATTGGCATGAATACGAATCTCTGAAAACGAGCTTGTTCGCCACTCTGTTGTTTTGGTTTGAAATGTGCTCTGTGGGATTATTTCAACAATACCGTAAGTCATTCCTATCATCAACAGGAAAACGGGAAACGAGTCATAAGCACGAGATGACTTCATGTGAAAGTCACCTATCTAGAGTGATATGATGTAGGAACCAATAAAATAATAATAATAATATAATATTTCTGTACTGAATAATTCAATGGTTAAAAATACTAGATGATATGGTTGAGTGTCGTGGCACTCTTGCACATACTCAATTTCTGTGTACGCACAGTTAGTCTGTACTCTGTCTGGATCATTTAGAATTGATCCCAGTGCCTTACTTCTTACACTTATAAAAAAACAGCAGTGGACAAGTTCGTTTATGGTTATTCATCTACAAACTAACACAACAATTTATCTCAAAGTGTCTAATGATGGAGGGGGATCATGACAAAATGGGCGGTCAGTTCCATGACCGGACGTTGTTCATGCGTTGGTCATCATACATACGCATTGGCTTGGATCGTTAGGGGCAACGGGGAGAGGAGTGCGTCGTACGTGTTGGCCATAGAAGATTGAGTGTTCCTACGAGTTGTTTTCGAGCATTGGGAGGGGGGTGGGTGGGTAAATCGGCGAATTCCGATCTACAGACTGCGACTAGTAATCCCCTTAGATCGACTGCCGGGAACAAAGTAGATGCGTCGAAACGCCTCAGCCGCACTAATCACCTGGTTTGACTCCACTAGGTATGAAACGACCAAACCATTTGTAGTCCCAATCGCCGCATTATTCAGTCAGGCCAGGTGATGTTCGCGAACTTGTCCAGATAAACGTCTGCTCTTACAGCCAATTTACCTTGTCCCATTGCAACAGATAAACAAGTACGCAAAGAAAGAGGTTGCCGAGACAGACAATTTATTTTTGAGTTGAAAGCGCAACAATGGCCTGAAGATGAAAGCAGTGCAAAGTATTATTGCGAGAAATGGTTTTGCTACAGCTGTACTCAGTTTGCGTACAACCATTCCGGCATGTGCTGTCACCCTCAAAAGTAGTGATATGTTAAGCGGTTTCTTCCCGACGATATTGATCTTATTTAACGACCGGTGACTTCCCAAAATATTGTCCACAAATGGTGTCCGTTATGAAGGAATGCCTCATTCCGATTGGTATCATCTGTACATATTCTCCGCGCTCTGGTAACGAGGCAATAAATCAGGTTTCTTTTCCGTTTCACTGACACTAAACTTTTGAGGTGGATATACTCATTATTCCACAATGGCTGCTAGTGGATGGTGCGCTGGATAACTCTGTCTCATCCACTATTTAGTAGAACGTCTAGAAATGCGATTCGCTTATTCTCTTCACTCTGTGGTGTGAACTTTTTGTTCGGATGTTGTCAATCCTCCGTGTGAGAATTAGAACATTTCAGAATTTGCACTTCGGCTACCGTTGATATTTAAGCAGTGTGATTATAAATACAATATCGAATGACTGTATTGCACCTAATATTCAATGCCAAATGACAGAATCCGAACGTTGAACGGTTAGCTAATCAATCTTGATTTTACTGTATCACAAGTTTACACGTCGTCCTGTACCGCAACGTTTGAAATCGTCCTTACGCTGGAGTCGTGACCTAGTAGTAAGTCCGTTTGAATTTTTTCGCTTGTGTCGATTGCCAATTTCTGTAGAACCACGGTTCACGTAAAAATACAGTACTTTAGCCATTGCACTGTTTTCTGCGACCACCCAGGTCATGCGTGAGACTAACGTTAACAATTCCCAGTTTGTTTGATTGTGCGTTTGATGATACTGTTCTACAGATTAGTCATGAAGACTTCTGCGA